AGGACAATTAACGTATACTGAACTGGTGTCACAAGGCTCAATGACGATGACCAACCACTAGCCATACCTAACATGTTACCACCAGAGATCTTTCTTGGGTAGATCAAGGTTTTAGGAACTTCAGACAAGGGTTGTGTTGAGCTGAGAACTAAAAAGAACAAATATGGATAGATGATGAAGTGGAGAACAAGAATAGAGGTTATAGAAGACACACTACGTATGCTCATTGGTGTTTCACAAGAGTATACATTACAGGATAACTATGGATCCAAGTAGTCTAAACAACTAGGTACATTTAAGCAATCCATCTTTCCCATCGTAAACACAAGTGTCAAAAACGTGATCAAATTACAAAATTCGTGCAATCAAATAGTCGGACATGGTATTGTATTTGTAGAAGAGAGCCAATAAAATAAAAAGATTCTCTTGGGGCATTTGTAAATATTAGTTTAGAAATACAGATCGACTAATTATAAAGGCAGAAGATGTAGGAGTGAATAAAAACCATTTCCCGTCAAATCAAAGGAAAGCTTGGATATGACATGCAATATGCAGGTATAAAGTTGTAGAGAAAATAAAAACATTTTAACGTTGTCACGGATATTACGAGTGCCGTAACAAAGTGTTGACGAGTTTCACATGCATTTGTCAAAACAAGCTTAAGTAGACAAAGAGCATGCAAAAATATATGATGGAAAACTTGCTCAGCGCATCTACAAGCACCAATTTCAGAGCTCGCTCTGTCACAAATTAATTGAGAATCTGAGCATGCGTTGTCAACTCCACAAACTCTCCAAGCTCATGGTAACGACCAACTGGATGTACTAGTACCGATTTTGGAGTAATTAGCTCGCTCAGTCACACGTTTTAAGACAAATCATCTGCGCATGCGCAGTCTCATTGAGCAGCAGACCAGCTACCTGTCATGGTCATGGCAACGACCAACTGCATCTACTAGCACCAATTTTGAAGTAAATAGCATGCTTAGTAACAATTTAATAGAGAAATCGTCTGCGCAGTCCACTCGAGTAATTGTTCATAGTCATGACAACGACCAACTATATGTACTTGCACTACATTTGTGTCAATTAACTCACTTAGTCGCAAATTATCAAAGAAATCATCTGGGCATGCGCAGTAACGATAACAATCATCCCACAACTTTCGTACGCCTTTAAATTTTGGTATATATATATAAAGCTAAAACTTCATATAGTAGATATCAACTAGCAGTGGAAGCTGGGTGCGATATAGTATGCAGTGGCTTAGGGGCCCACACTTCGGTGGCGACCGCACTCTCCCTGCGTACCCTGAGCAAAGCCTATCGCAGGTGATCTCAGGGTCTGATGGGCGGAAGCTTGCTATTGGCATCTCCCAAGTAGGATAGCGTGGAGGGGCCGAAATCTCCTACCGAAACGTTAACATGCGGCGTTCTAGTGCCTTGCGCTTAAGAAGGTATCGGGAAGCATGGACCGAAAACGGGGTGCTTTGCTTTCGAATTTTATCTTTTTGTTTTCTTCTCATAAAACAAACCAAGCAATGTTTCAATTAACTTCTTATGACCCTGTCTTCTTCTGACACTTATAAATAAAGACAACCTTAAACATGTTTTATACCAATTTTATCGGTTTATATCTTTCTGATTTAACTCTCCCATTTACTGTTTCTCATGTATTACGAGCAAACCATACATATGTTTCATGGAAAACAAACAAGGATTATGTGGTTCCCTTAGTTAACATGCGACGCTCTAGTGCTCAACTATCTAGGGTATCGGGAGGCATGGACCGAAAACGGGATTCTTTGGTTTTCAAAATTTATCTTTTCTTTACAAGAATTCTTCTCATAAAAACTAGAACGTCCAAGGATACTTCAAAGGTTCAAACAACTTCTGCCTTTTGAACTATAACTTAAAAAACTCTAAGCATGTTTATACGTTTTTATTTATTACCTTTACAACGTAACTTTCTCATAACTCTCTCGTGATGAACGAGAGCCTCCTTATACAATATGACTCTTTCATCATGAACGAACGCATCCATGGGCTTCACGGAAAAAAGGGATTATGTACTTTGTTATAATAGTTTCTACAAAGATAACATTTATTAGGCTAAGAAATTTGAAAATAAAAATATATTTGAGTTATTAGCAAATAACAAGTCGAGAATTCATTGATCATACTCATTCCAATTGGTCTGGAACAACCATGACATTTATAATTTTGACCATCCAACCCTTTATCAAGGGCTATATTGTTAATTAACGACAGTAACTTCATACGTCGTTCTTGCTGAACACCTTCAGGTGAAGTAGGATCATCAATAATCTGTTATATATAAAAACATAATTTATCCATAGAATCATAGCAAAGTTACGATGGACAGATGAGAGTTATTAACGCTATAAAACTTAAATTCAATATATCGTATAAAGTACCTCAAATCCCGATGATTTCTCGTATCGAAAGGATTTTAAAGTAAAGATGAAAATTAAGATGAGAAATTTCGAAAAATTGAAACTAGAGAATTTTTCAAGAAAAAAAGTGTTGAAAATACCTGTACTACCACAAGATTCTTCAATGTGTATGCTCTAAAATAATAGTCAGAAAAACGACAATTTCAAAAAGCATAAAAAAAAACTAAGTATTTGTAACATTGGTGAAAGATACAGGATGAACATGAAACCTTCTCAGAAGACGATGGAACGAGACCATAACCATTTGATGTGAACTTCTTTCAAACAACGTTTGCGTAATCCGTTAGCATACCATGAAAACTAACTTCTGGTTTAGGCGACGCTTTACTAGCAACCTCCTCAACGTCTTCAGGACAATTAACGTATACTGAACTGGTGTCACAAGGCTCAATGACGATGACCAACCACTAGCCATACCTAACATGTTACCACCAGAGATCTTTCTTGGGTAGATCAAGGTTTTAGGAACTTCAGACAAGGGTTGTGTTGAGCTGAGAACTAAAAAGAACAAATATGGATAGATGATGAAGTGGAGAACAAGAATAGAGGTTATAGAAGACACACTACGTATGCTCATTGGTGTTTCACAAGAGTATACATTACAGGATAACTATGGATCCAAGTAGTCTAAACAACTAGGTACATTTAAGCAATCCATCTTTCCCATCGTAAACACAAGTGTCAAAAACGTGATCAAATTACAAAATTCGTGCAATCAAATAGTCGGACATGGTATTGTATTTGTAGAAGAGAGCCAATAAAATAAAAAGATTCTCTTGGGGCATTTGTAAATATTAGTTTAGAAATACAGATCGACTAATTATAAAGGCAGAAGATGTAGGAGTGAATAAAAACCATTTCCCGTCAAATCAAAGGAAAGCTTGGATATGACATGCAATATGCAAGTATAAAGTTGTAGAAAATAAAAACATTTTTAACGTTGTCACGGATATTACGAGTGCCGTAACAAAGTGTTGACGAGTTTCACATGCATTTGTCAAAACAAGCTTAAGTAGACAAAGAGCATGCCAAAATATATGATGGAAAACTTGCTCAGCGCATCTACAAGCACCAATTTCAGAGCTCGCTCTGTCACAAATTAATTGAGAATCTGAGCATGCGTTGTCAACTCCACAAACTCTCCAAGCTCATGGTAACGACCAACTGGATGTACTAGTACCGATTTTGGAGTAATTAGCTCGCTCAGTCACACGTTTTAAGACAAATCATCTGCGCATGCGCAGTCAACATTGACCAGCTACCTAAGGTCATGGTCATGGCAACGACCAACTGCATCTACTAGCACCAATTTTGAAGTAAATAGCATGCTTAGTAACAATTTAATAGAGAAATCGTCTGCGCAGTCCACTCGAGTAATTGTTCATAGTCATGACAACGACCAACTATATGTACTTGCACTACATTTGTGTCAATTAACTCACTTAGTCGCAAATTATCAAAGAAATCATCTGGGCATGCGCAGTAACGATAACAATCATCCCACAACTTTCGTACGCCTTTAAATTTTGGTATATATATATAAAGCTAAAACTTCATATAGTAGATATCAACTAGCAGTGGAAGCTGGGTGCGATATAGTATGCAGTGGCTTAGGGGCCCACACTTCGGTGGCGACCGCACTCTCCCTGCGTACCCTGAGCAAAGCCTATCGCAGGTGATCTCAGGGTCTGATGGGCGGAAGTTTGCTATTGGCATCTCCCAAGTAGGATAGCGTGGAGGGGCCGAAATCTCCTACCGAAACGTTAACATGCGGCGTTCTAGTGCCTTGCGCTTAAGAAGGTATCGGGAAGCATGGACCGAAAACGGGTTTTGCTTTCGAATTTTATCTTTTGTTTTCTTCTCATAAAACAAACCAAGCAATGTTTCAATTAACTTCTTATGACCCTGTCTTCTTCTGACACTTATAAATAAAGACAACCTTAAACATGTTTTATACCAATTTTATCGGTTTATATCTTTCTGATTTAACTCTCCCATTTACTGTTTCTCACGTATTACGAGCAAACCATACATATGTTTCATGGAAAACAAACAAGGATTATGTGGTTCCCTTAGTTAACATGCGACGCTCTAGTGCTCAACTATCTCGGGTATCGGGAGGCATGGACCGAAAAGGATTCTTTGGTTTTCAAAATTTATCTTTTCTTTACAAGAATTCTTCTCATAAAAAACTAGAACGTCCAAGGATACTTCAAAGGTTCAAACAACTTCTGCCTTTTGAACTATAACTTAAAAAAACTCTAAGCATGTTTATACGTTTTTTATTTATTACCTTTTACAACGTAACTTTCTCATAACTCTCTCGTGATGAACGAGAGCCTCCTTATACAATATGACTCTTTCATCATGAACGAACGCATCCATGGGCTTCACGGAAAAAAGGGATTATGTACTTTGTTATGAGAACAAACCTGTTAAGAAAACAGGTTGTTATTTTTATAACTATAAGCTGTGTACAAAAACAAAGTGAGAGAAGTCACCATCATGCATAAAATGCTTTCTGATACGTAGATGAACACTCGTATTTACTAATTAGCAGACCTGTATATATTATATATTACAGATAAACTTCAAAAATACTTATCTTCCATCTAGCAATCCAGTATCAGACTCTCTTAAATTATTTGGTAAGAAAGTTTTCTGTATTCCAAGAGTTGTTCCATCCATCACCACCTTCTGGGGAATTCTTCCACATAATTCACAAAAAAACCCATTGTGAAAATCAATATCAAGCAACCTCAATAAGAGAAAATTCAATAACTTAATAAAACAAGCGATCACTATCTCAATGGAATATTCATATTTTGCAGCTGAAAATGAAATGATCCTTACCGTATCATGGCAATGATAGCGAGACGAAACTTGGCGCAAGTTATTTCCTTTGGGAAATTCAAATTACCCGAAGACACTTGCCTTTGTACATATGCAACATAATATTTGTACATAAACTGAACAAGAATAAAAAAGAAAAAACATTCAAAAGATATAGTGCGAGAAAATTAAATAATGGACAAACGTAGCTACTAATGCTTCGGCAAATTTTCATTAAAAAGTACCTCGACGTTATGAAAAGCCGAATGTAATCTTTTAGATCGGCATGAGATATTGCATATGATCCAAACCATACAATCCTGTTTTCAATGCCATCATAATGCTTTTTCGTAGCACAAGAGGAGCAAGGTCTACAATACACTAAATAATTTATTTAAGTCAAATAATTATGAAGTGAAGCGTAACCTATAACAAATCAGAACTTACCCTTCACATCATGGATTGAACAAAAGTACGCAACTGAACACAAGTCTACGTACAACCATTCATCTTGAATAGAACGTTTATCCCACTCTGCACCACAAGAACAAATACCACTTTCAGATGGCGCCAAAATTTTATGACCATTTTTTTCAGGAAGATCAGTAAAATCGCTTGCATCATTCTCATTGCCTAAAATAATTAAATAGTAATATTTACAAAATGCTAGAAAGTGCTAAATACCATACCGATAAAGGAAATAGTATATGTAAAGCTAAAAGGATGTTCACCATTGCAGATTATCTTGCATACCTGTTTCAAATAAAGAAACCTTTTCTTTGCTAAGTGTAGCCAATTCAAAATAGTCTCGCATCTGGTGTAATTCCAAAGGAAAACTTAAAAAAGTGCCAATGGAGAATCCATTTCATCCTCGTCAACGATTTGCATGGCTTTTGCAAGGGTTGTCACATGAATGCAATGATATGACGAATAGCTGCAACATTTTAACTCGGGCTGGGGCGGCATTACTTTTGAATACACTAAAGTACAAACCCCCCATGGACTATTCACTGGTTTTACAGCAATCCACTGAACCTCCCTGCACACTGCACTAAACAAGTCCTAAAATATGTAAAATCATTTATCTTTAAGGTTGTATTATGTGTGTGTATGTATGTGTGTGTATGTATGTGTGTGTATGTGTATGCAGATTAATAATTATGATTAATTATGACTTCACAAAATCCTTAGAAAGTGCTTAATATATATATATATCAGGCACGTAAAGCAAATGGTGAATATGACTTTACTATTTTTGTCATACATTTAGTTTATACTACTTAATGTATGTACTGTAAGTATGTGGCTATGTATGTATGTGAGTATGAATGTGTATACCTCAATAGTCATAAATAAATTCAATTTGCCCTGTTGGTTATCACCCTAATAGCTTTATAGAAGCTCCTGAAATTAGGCACAGGATGTATGGTAACAAATTGTGGGGTATTAGAAGGTTGAGAAACAATACGTGTATTTGTACAAAAAAGTTATTTTCACATAACAAAATATACTTCTTCAGGTTGCATCTCATGGTAGGAATGATCACTGAAAACAGACTGCATCATGGATGTGGATTCTGCATTCATAAAAGAAATTCAATGAGATAAATATATTGTGTAAATAATCATTCACAAGTTTTAACAATATTTTTGCTTGTAAAGCTGTGCTGGTTAACATCCACATGTAATAAGAACAATGTCGAACAAGGGTCTTGTAAAACACAGAAGGATGACTTCACAAGGGTTTGAAATGTACAATAAACTGATATTTAAGGATGAAGACATTTTCTCCCATACCACATGAAGAACTTTACATTGAAAAAATAAGCCAAATACAAATTTGAGACATTCACTACATGCAATGTCAGATTAATATGTAACAAGTTCTCACATCTTTGACAAGGGTCTTGAAACAAATAGTATGTAAGTGTAAGTCAAAATTTGGTGAAGCTGTTCAGACACCTTATATCCTGAAAGAGTAACACACAACACTTACTTTTTCAATAAAATTTTGGCTTCAATACCAAACTTTCTATCATACACAACCAGATATTTTTTCCATTGCTAATATGTATGCAACTAGGATATGGTATATCTGACAAGTACAAAAATGTTGTTTGGCCTGTTTTAATCATTTCATTTCAGTAACATCTATTTTACATACCTTTTTGAGGATCTAATTGTATATTATTAGGTAGGGCATCAACAAATTGCTTTCTATTTGCATCACATGAGCAGCACAATATCCAACCATAGCCATCAAGCAATAGGTGGGGATATCGATGTACAAATACAAATGAATTATGCTGAAGAAAAAAATACATGCAGATTATAGCACCAAAAAAAGCATATTGAGTAATATCATTTAGTTGGGTATATACCCAACATTGAAATTATGGAAATAAAATTTGACATCACCATAATTGTTCTTTTGTTTGCATTATAATCATGAACAACAAAGGATTGCTGATGTGATACATTTGATGCAAAGTCAAACTGTAACAATAGCCCAGTATAGTGGCCAGTGGGTGACAAATGACTCTGAAAGAGCAAGTACACAGTAATTATTAATGTTCACTGTTTCAAAAATATCTATTGTAATATATTTTTATGTTTGTTGAGCACATTTCTACCAGATGTTAATAAAGTTTTGCTAGACAGTGTTTCATGCATAAGCAATCAACAAGCATATTGTCAATTTATAACACATTAAAAACATGACTAGTGGTAAACAGTATAAAGTATAACTGTATATGTGAGAACTACTTGACTATGTTGACATGGTTGTTTGGGTTCCTCTGTAATAATAGAGATAGATTGCTTGGTAAAGATATCTTCAGAGTCCTACAAATAAAGACCATTATTTAATTTAAAATGTGTACAGACTTTTAATAAGTGTTTAAATAATGCATGCCTTCTTTAAATTACTTCAAAATTTTTTAGTTATTTCTAGTGAAAGCAGTCCTACATATAACCACTTCCAATGACTTTTCATGAGAAACAATATCAATATGTACATTAAAAACCTGTGTTTTGGTGGTTAACTCTTGGTGCTTGTCATAATTTTCAGCAATATCTTCACTTTGTTCATTCTACATATAAATTAAAAAAAACCCATAAACATAGCGTATTTTTATATCTACATAGTTTTACAATATATGTAAACTTACCAAATCCCCAAATTCATTTTCTTGTTCAAAAAATTGAGATTCATATGACACACTGCTATTCTATTAACATATATGACATTGTGATTAAAGGATGTAGAGAATCCAGACTTGAAATTGGAAAATATGCTCCGAATAAGTGTTTTTCCTTACACCACATTGTGGGCATAAATAAATTTGTACACATACTTTTGTTAATATAACTGTGGTAATAAAAATAAATTAATATGAAATTGTGCAACCAGAAACAATAAAAAGAACACTTTAAAAATTCCTACCGCATCTAGTCCGTGATCTGTGACCGATTTTCTTTCATTCCCGTTGGACACCTCGAGGAAGGTCGTGAAAAATTCAAGACAGAACGACTTTTACATGCTTAACGCAGTTTTACTTCTTGTCATCTCCAAAAAGCTGCAGTTTTATTGCTATATTACATTAAAATTTTAAAATTTGTAGCTCATTACAATTTCGGAATCCGCCATTTTCCCTAGGAAACTTCATGTTATTTATATTTTGTGTGCTAGTGCCAGACCTAATAGAGAGCTATTATGCACGATAATACTGGCAACATAAATAAAATGCCTAAAAGAAATACATATTTCACTCGTGCATTAGGTTGGATTTTAGCAATTGTTGCGAAGATAATATTTTGAAAGTTATAATCGTATTGTGCAAGACAAGGCGCGCTTTTTTTAAAGGTCTGTCTCGAATTCGTCGTCAATGTCATCATCTAAAAACTCCTCTTCCTCAACATCATTGTCGTCATCAATATCTACATTCGTGTTTGCAGTACACGACCATACATCTGTGTACTTCACTCCTGCTTTGTTACATGAACAACGTTGGGAGTTACAGCCACGTTGCAGCCAGTCTTACAACCACAATGAACGTTATCAAGTAGGGAATTCGGCGCTAGGGGAATGGTCATCCATACGATTTCAGACTTGCAGTTTCCCGTCACTCGTTTGCCACCCATTTTCATCCGGAGGAGTAATATCCATTTGTGGTTGTAAACGGAAAGGCCAAAGCACGGCTTGGTACAAAAATGTAAGTTCCATAAACTTCCATTGCTAATCAAGAGTTAGTGTAAATATTGCTAAAGTCATTCTTATTGCATTCTGTATACAACTGAGAGGTATTTTGCAAAATCTCAGTTAAGAAGCATAAAATCTCAAAACACCAAGCTAGAACTCAACATTATATGATTCTTAGAACAAACTTAGCTACTATTTGTTTACAATATGTCAGAAGTGGTAAACTTTTGTATTTTCAACAATCTCTTTCATAGTGTTACATGATAGCAACTACTATCATGTAATATCATTTTTATATCATATTATAATTTCATATATAATTAATTAGAACGTTATCTAGAAGCTTGCTTGCATGCGCTAGAAGCTTGCTTACATGCGTAAACACTTTGGAACCGCAACCGCATTTGTTGTTATTGTGGTTAACTATATCTTGCTGTAACATACTGTATTGCGTATGGGATGTAGGTCACAAAACCACAATACTTCCCATTAGATATTATATGTATATATGAGTTGTTTAGACCACTGAGTACAACCTACGAGGACAACCTACGAGCACAAGCTACGAGGAGACAAACTTAGGAGGCATAGCCTACCGAAGTAGGTTGACAAGCTACAATCTACCAGACAACTATCTTGGCTTCTGTGCCATAACTATCTTTTGGCTTCTGTGCCTTTAATCTATTGGAAAACAATTGTGAGTCATCGTTGGACTCACGAACGCTCAAGAATAAAGACTCGCGTTTGTACTCAGACAGGGAGATAAGTTTTACTCATACTTATTGATATTATTATTAAGACACTCATCTACTTTAATATTTACGCTTTATTAATAAATTGTTTGAGAAATATAACTGGTTCACACTATCTTTGTTGCGTGTGGAAATAGAACCAAAATTAATAGTTATTCTTTCGGGACCACGCACGTAACACATAGGTTGTGATGATTGTTAATCTTCAGTTAAGGCTTTATGCTCAAGATCATGTTTTACAGTTCAAGAAAGAATATTTTTCAGTGTTGTAAATTGTCATGTTATGTTGTGTAGAGTGTGAATATACCATATGATATAAACTGTAAAATGTTAAGTCATATATTACTAGACAAATACGTATATAGTCACTAAACTGTGGTTTCAGTGGAAATCCTGTACGTAAATTCAAAATACTTAGGAACACTTTTTCTACCCAATGTGGCATTGCGGTAGGATGTAGGTAATGACGGTACTCTATAAACGGAATGGCGTGTTGCAAGTCATGCAAACGCCCAAAATCATATCCTAATAATTATAATATAAATAAGAGCTTGCAAGCGTTGGTTCGGCATTCGGAAAAACAGACGTTGTTAGACGTACAGAAGTGATAAGTTGGAAGTCGTATCGCAGGAGGCGATAGCGTTTGAATAAGTTTCAAGTTTAAAGATTGACGGTTGGCCGTAATCTCAACGTTTCAATAACATATTTGTGTCGCAAAGAACCAACGTTTGGAACTCCGTATCATAAATCGTGCACAAACCACTGTAAATATCCTATCAAGTGTTAAATACAATTGTCAAAATACAGTCCCATCGTTCGAGTGAAGTCTCGAGCAGTGAACCAGCACTTCGCGCAGATTGTGCGAAATTCAGTGAGCCTTCGAGCCGGATAGAGTAGCAGAATTCGAGAACACATTGATAGGATAAAAAGGGTTGTTCACGATGTCAGAAACAAGAAAGCGACAGTCGAGGAGTGGGCACAAATCGTACGCCACAAAGGTTGTGAACAAGGTGATAAGTATGGTAAACGACAATGCGCCATTAAGGAAAGTCGAACTGGAACAAATGCGGCTTGTACTCGTACAGAAATTGGATACAATTTCGAAGTTGGACGATGAGATTCAGAGCTTGTTGGAAAAGGATGACGATATTGCAGCAGATATTGACAGCTCATCGGAATACGGCTGCGAAGTTTTGGGCGCGTTGGCCGAAATCAACGAAGCGCTGAGCACGATAGAGACGAACAAACGAAATGAGGAACTCGCCAACACATCGGCAAGTACAGTATCCAGTGGAGCACGCTGTAGAGTAAAGCTGCCTAAACTAGAGGTGAAAAAGTTCACGGGCAAGATACAAGATTGGCGTGAATTCTGGGACTCTTTCGAAAGTTCAATCCACAACAATGACGGATTGTCTGAGGTCGACAAATTCACCTATCTGAGGGTCTGGTGGAGGAGCCGGCCAAGTCAGCAATTTCGGGATTTGCTCTGACTTCGATTAACTATGCAGAAGCACTGAAGGTGTTAGAACGGAGATACGGGAGCAAAGTGATGGTGCAAAGGGCACACGTAAATGATTTGATGAACCTAAAGCCCGTGTACAACGAGAATGATACGACAAGGCTGCGCAAGTTCTTTGATGCCGTGGAAACGAGTTATCGAGGACTCGAGGCGCTCGGTGTAAAGGAGGAAACGTACTGCGAGATAGTCGTTCCCAATCTTCTAACAAAGATACCGAACTCATTAAAACTGACGATTACCAGGGGAAGAGACTACTTAGAGTGGGGCATGAAAGATTTTGTCGACGCGTTACAAGCCGAAGTGGAGCTGCGGGAATGCCACAAATTAGCGGTCGGAGAGAAAGAAGAAGATCAACGAAGAAGACGACGGGAACCGGGAACAGCTAGCGGGTTGTTTGCCAGCCGCAACAACCGATTGTTTTGTGCTTTCTGCTGTGGAGAGCACAAGCATGAAGAATGTACCAAGGTAACGGGGCGGCAAGAACGGATGCAACTTCTTCGTAAGTTCAAACGATGTTTCAATTGTTTAAATAAGGGACATTTATCTAAAGATTGTCGTGCACGTACTAAATGTAGTGTATGTGGGGAGGGTCATCATGTTTCCATATGTGATAAGAGTAATAATAACCAGAAGGATGAAAGAAATAGTCGGGAAGAAAGTGGACAGGTTAGTGTAGCTAATGTCCATGTTAGTACTAGAAGTAGAGTGGCTCTTCAAACTGCGCAGGGAGTACTTATAGGAAAGGGTAAGACAAGAGTGCGAGTGCTTTTCGACTCGGGAAGTGAGAAATCCTTTGTGACGTGTGACGCGAAGAGGTGTGCCAAGCTTAACGTTGCTAGGCGAGAATGGTTCGAAGTTAATACATTCGGTGGTGGAAGTAACAAGGGTAGAATGACAGAGGTTGTTCATTGCGAGGTATCGGCAGTTCAAGGAGGTCGTAAAATACGCGTAGAGGCGTTAGTAGTTCCTCATATTTGCACGATCAAAAAATGAGCATCTTGAGGTAGACAAGAACAAGTATTCGCATTTGAAGGATTTGTGGTTGTCAGACGTTAATTTGAAGCAGGACACGTTAGATGTTGATGTTTTGATAGGTGCGGTTAACCTTTGGGCATTTCTACAAGGTGAGATAATTAGGGGCAAGGATGACGAACCCGTTGCCATCAATACTTGTTTAGGTTGGGTAATAAGCGGTCCACTGAAAGGGAGCTCGAACTTGAAAAACGCACACGTTAATTTAGTTTCACAGATTGCAACACAAAACGCGGACAGCATTAATGGGGATGTGAGTAAATTGTGGGATTTAGAAACGCTTGGAGTAAGAGAGACTAATGACGTGCATGAAGCATTGCTTGACAAAATAGAGTTCAATGGGTCAAAATATGTCGTAAAATTGCCATGGAAACAGGGTCATGAGCACTTACCGTCAAATTATTCAAATAGTTTAGCACGCATGAAAGGGCAGATAAGGAGGTTGTCGAATGAGCCAGCATTGTTGAAAGAATGTGATAAAATTATAAAGGAACAGCTAGAAACGGGTGTTATAGAAAGGGTAGATGAGTCTGAACCTGGGGTAAATGTTCATTACCTTCCCCATCAAGCCGTAATACGTAAAGAGGCGAAAACAACCAAATTGAGAATTGTTTATGACGCATCGTCAAAAGAGAGTAAGAGAGGGACTTCTTTGAATGACTGTCTTCATGTAGGACCACCACTAACGCCGTTGTTGTTTGACATATTAATCAGATTTAGGGAGAGCAGAGTGGCCTTGGTAGGAGACATTGAGAAAGCCTTTTTGAACGTAGAAGTAGACGAAGCAGACAGGAACTATTTGAGATTTTTGTGGGTGAGAGATGCGACTAATGGTAATTTAGAGGTTGTAGTGTATAGGTTTTGTAGAGTAGTGTTTGGACTAAATGCATCGCCCTTCTTGCTTAACCAACGCTTAGACATCACATTGCGCAATTTGTCAGTGGCGTGCGGTGACCGAATTTAATAGGCAAGCGCTGACAGTGATTCCACAATGCATTCAGTCATGTTGTACAGGTGTCGTGAAAATACCGAATGTAGAAGTAGAACATAAAAGGATGAAAATTCCTATGCTATATATTTCATAGGAACATCAATCTTATTTATACCTTACATCAGTTACATGATATCTACTGGATACAAATATCAAAACCACTACGCAAAAGGAAGCTCTTGTCAATATCATAATCTTGTATTACATGCTACAGATAATATCTTCTACATACAAAAAAAATTTTACAAAATTGGGATACCACCCTTCCCCCCCTGAAAATGAATTTCTTCATATTTCCATATTTTCATCAAAAAACTATAATTTATGCATTTGAACACATTTTCCATAACAAAAAAAATTTTACAAAATTGGGATACCACCCTCCCCTGAAAACGAATTTCTTCATATTTCCATATTTTCATCAAAGACTATAATTTTGCATTTGAACACATTTTCCATAACAAAAAATTTTACAAAATTGGGAACCACCCCCCTCCCCTGAAAACGAATTTCTTCATATTTCCATATTTTCATCAAAAACTATAATTTATGCATTTGAACACATTTTCCATAACAAAAAAATTTTACAAAATTGGGAAACCACCCTCCCCTGAAAACGAATTTCTTCATATTTCCATATTTTCATCAAAAACTATAATTTATGCATTTGAACACATTTTCCATAACAAAAAATTTTACAAAATTGGGATACCCCACCCCTGAAAACGAATTTCTTCATATTTCCATATTTTCATCAAAAACTATAATTTATGCATTTGAACACATTTTCCATAACAAAAAAATTTTACAAAATTGGGAACCACCCTCCCCTGAAAATGAATTTCTTCATATTTCCATATTTTCATCAAAAACTATAATTTATGCATTTGAACACATTTTCCATAACAAAAAATTTTACAAAATTGGGATACCACCCCACCCCCCTGAAAACGAATTTCTTCATATTTCCATATTTTCATCAAAAACTATAATTTATGCATTTGAACACATTTTCCATAACAAAAAATTTTACAAAATTGGGATACCACCCCCCTGAAAACGAATTTCTTCATATTTCCATATTTTCATCAAAAACTATAATTTATGCATTTGAACACATTTTCCATAACAAAAAATTTTACAAAATTGGGATACCCCTCCCCTGAAAACAATTTCTTCATATTTCCATATTTTCATCAAAAACTATAATTTATGCATTTGAACACATTTTCCATAACAAAAAAATTTTACAAAATTGGGACACCACCCCTCCCCCCCTGAAAATGAATTTCTTCATATTTCCATATTTTCATCAAAAAACTATAATTTATGCATTTGAACACATTTTCCATAAAAAAAAATTTTACAAAATTTGGAACCACCCTCCCCTGAAAATGAATTTCTTCATATTTCCATATTTTCATCAAAAACTATAATTTATGCATTTGAACACATTTTCCATAAAAAAAAATTTTACAAAATTGGGATACCACCCTCCCCTGAAAACATTTTTCTTCATATTTCATCAAAAACTATAATTTATGCATTTGAACACATTTTCCATAACAAAAAAATTTTACAAAATTGGGATACCACCCCCTGAAAACGAATTTCTTCATATTTCCATATTTTCATCAAAAACTATAATTTATGCATTTGAACACATTTTCCATAACAAAAAATTTTACAAAATTGGGAACCACCCCTCCCCCCCTGAAAACGAATTTCTTCATATTTCCATATTTTCATCAAAAAACTATAATTTATGCATTTGAACACATTTTCCATACCAAAAAAAATTTTACAAAATTGGGGAACCACTCCTCCCCAAATGAAAACGAATTTCTTCATATTTCCATATTTTCATCAAAAACTATAATTTATGCATTTGAACACATTTTCCATAACAAAAAATTTTACAAAATTGGGAATCCACCCTCCCCTGAAAACAATTTCTTCATATTTCCATATTTTCATCAAAAACTATAATTTATGCATTTGAACACATTTTCCATAACAAAAAATTTTACAAAATTGGGACACCACCCTCCCCTGAAAACGAATTTCTTCATATTTCCATATTTTCATCAAAAACTATAATTTATGCATTTGAACACATTTTCCATAACAAAAAATTTTACAAAATTGGGGAACCACCCTCCCCTGAAAACGAATTTCTTCATATTTCCATATTTTCTTTAAAAACTATAATTTATGCATTTGAACACATTTTCCATAACAAAAAAAATTTTACAAAATTGGGA